AAGGATGAAAGTCACACAAGTGTTGAGGACTTTTGTTCATAGGGTCGCTATTAGTCGCCTATGACTCAACGGCACTTAACAACAACATTTTATGCAAGGGAGTACTTGTAGTCTGGTGGCAAGAAGCTGTGTTGCAATCCCAAAGGCACGCGTTTCAAATCCATCAGCTGTACTGTGGGAGAAGGATGGGCAATCTTCTCCAGTGCGAGCCATGGGTAGGTTCTGACTCGACAGTAGACAAGAACAGCATTTTACGCAGACTCTGTATGCGTTATATGTTTGGGGTTTTATTCACACAGCACAACCCCTTCTTACACTGGAAGCTGTGGTATGGACACAATGGCTTTTATAGTCCATTATCTTTGATGTCCACCACACGGCTGGGTGAGACTCTGCAAACAAGGTGGGTAAACTACTCTTGACAGGACTAGTCTGTCTTGTCAACCCACCAGGTTTAAGTCGAGCAGATTTAGCAGTAGCAGATGGGACCTCACGGTTAGAAAAGAGGCAGAGATTTCTGCACAAGTGGAATTGGGGCGTAGACGAGAGCAGCAGCAGCAGCAGTGGTGGAAAATCAGGGACAGACCTGAGTCAGAACTGGTCAGGTGCTGCTCTCCCACGGAGCCAGAGTCCAGACCTGCTGGAAGACGAGGGGTGAGGGGTGAAGAGATGTCATAACTGGAGGGACTAAGAGAGCTTGGCAGTGCTAACGCCACAAGACTGGAGGGCAAACAGCCTGCAAACATGCTTGAGGAGCTGCCCAATTGAGGAACTGCATCTTGCTTTCAACCTGAATTGTATAACCTATTCACTTGCATAATAAAACACCATAAACATGAGTATGGTTCTGAGTTCTGTGTGGCCACTGCAATGGATTGATTAGCAGACCCAGAAGTACAGCACTGGGAGCCCAGGGACGGATGGTTGGTGTGGGAATTAGTAGTAGGCATGGGAGCACAGGGACATGGGGACATGTCTGACCTCGTGGAAGTAGCTTTCCTCTCACAGCACGGTGCTGCTGACAGGGCCTGTCCTCCTTTGTGGAGTTAGTAGAGGTCAGATGTATCTGTCCCTACACCCCCTGCATTCTTTTCACGGTTTTCAATGGAAGTTATTATGTGCATGTGCTTTATTTATGTGGGACCATTATTCTCATTAGCTGTGGGATTTATGGGAAGTTTCACTGGTTTTTGATATGAGACAACCTCACATCTTAAACATGACAGAGGGGAGAGCTTTGGTTAACATTGAAACTGCCAAAGAAGTTAACAGAAGTGAAGAATTGGAGACGGTAATTATCTACGTAAGTAAATGTTTTAACTGTGCTGAAATTGCAATTTATTGGGGGGGAAATGCCAAGCATTTATTTTGTTAAAAGAAAAGCAGATTAAGGAGCATAAGGAATAAGGCACAGGTTTACCCTACCGCTTATTACCACCACCACTAGGAATGATGCCCTTAGACTCAACTCGTGCACTGTTCAGAAATTCGTGTGGACTTAGAGGTTTGAGTGCATTTCCTGCTGTGTTTCGGTCACATCCAAGAGGTCAGGATATTCAAGTGACTTGTTCTGAGTATATGAGTGGAAACATTAGTGCTTTTGAAAAATATCATGGAGAAAATAAGCTTGACGATAGGTTAAGGTGTCTGTCATGTGATTATCAGCAATGACACACTCATCCACCAGGCACTACTGAGTATGGTGATGACCTCTGTATTGTGTTCCTACCACCCAGAGTATGTCACCGCTGCAGTCATTGCCCAACCGCCCAACAGCATAGTCCAGTGAGAGCGGTACTTCCAACCCCAAGGCCGAACCTCTGTGTCAGGCCAACTCCACCAGCAGCTCTGTGGGAGAGAGGAGCACTCTCCTCTCTCAAGAATTACAGCCTTGAAACCCAGTGAAGGCTCAGCTAGAAGCGTCCATTCCAAATTGTCAACAAAAAATCATCTTGCTTTGGGTTTTGATTTATAAATTAGGGGTCATTTTGGGTTTGCGGTTTGTTGGGTGTTGTTTTTTTTAACCTAAAATGCGGTGCATGTTATTGGAAGTGCTACTTACAGAGGGCAACCCTGAAGCAGGTTTGCAAGAGATGTGCTGCACTGCAATCCTGAAGACGTGGGGTTCAAATCCACCAGATGCTCACCTGGAGATGGAGGGGCAATCTCCTCCTGTGCCAGATGGATCCAATTCAATGGTACACAACAAGAAAAAAGAAGGAAAAAAAAAGAGAGATGGAAAGACAGACTAAAACGGGAACTGACAGCCATGGATGCATACTTGAAACCGAGGACCTGAATGAAGTGTTTGCTGCAGAAGGTAAAGGATAGAAGTCTCCAACATGGATTGAAGCTCAACATCAAGAAAACAAGATTCTCATGACTGGAAGGAACAATTGGCAGCACCATGATGGATGGAGAAGAGATTGTTAACAGCTACAGCTTACTCTGTTCCACAATTAACAGCTACAGCTTACTCTGTTCCACAATTAACAGTCTTGGTACCAGCACTCAGGAAATCAAAAGACAAATTGCCCTGGGAAAATCTGTTGTCAGAGACCTCTCCAGAGTGCTGAGAAGCAATGATGCCAGTCTAGATACCAAGGTGTACCTGATCCAGGCCATGGTCTGTGCAATTACTTGCTATGCATCAGAGAGCTGGACAATGACTAAGGATGACAGAATCGATACCTTTGAGTTGTGGTTCTGGAGAATAGTAATGAGCATACGATGGACACCAGGAGAACAAATATGTCTGTCTTGGAGAGGGTGAAACCAAGTTTCTCTTTGGTGACCAGGATTTTGAAACTGTCTCACATACTTTGGGCACATGGCCAAGAGGAACTAGTCCTTGGAGAAAGACATCATGCTTGGAAGGGTTGGGGGATAGCACAAGAGAGGAAGAGCCCAGATGAGATGGATTGACCTGGTAACTGGAGCAATAGGGTTAGGTGTGTTGGAGTCAGTAACACCAGCTCAGGAGAGGGCAAGGTCAGGAACGACAGAGTCACTGTGAGTTGTGAGGGACTTGATGGCACATCACACCTTCCACATTTGATACTGCAGCACATCTTCTCATCACAGGCCATCAGAGCTCCCTTAGACAGACAGCAGGCGAGTATGGGTGCATGGAAAGGAAATAGACATGAATACTGAAGAAAGGAGGAGCACAGCGGTATGGAAGGATTATTGGGAATTAATCAGAATTATAGGGAGGACATGAGAAAAATGCAGTTTCATTGTGTGAACTGAAATTAATGACAACAGAACAAAATGTGTATCAATGGTTAAATGAAGAATTTGCTTTGTAACTTTCACTCACACTACAATAAAAGAAAAAAATAGAGCAGTGGAGGTAAAGAGAAACCGTAAGTCTCACAAAATGGCACATGATAAAATGACAAAAGTAAATCTTTCTATATAAAAGACTGCTGGCAATATAAGTCAGCTAAATGCCCCAGCTGAGAGCCAGAGTGTGATTGAGATAACAGGAAAGTCAGACAACACTGCATTCATTTTCTTCTACAATTTTTAATTGGTGTTCTATTTTTTAACAAAACTCATATCTCTCATTCAACCAAACCAAAGGAAAAAAGTGAAATATTATAACTACAATTAGTAATGAAAAATTTTAACAGCACATATAGGAATGTTTTATTTTTTTAAAACAAATTTTATAAAAATCTGGTACAAAATAGTTAAACAAAGCATTTTAGAGATACAATTAGCTTCCAAAGCCTCCATTCCTTCCAAGAGACATTTGTGTTTGTGATTGAATTTAAAACCCCAACAAATATCTCAATTATTGTCCTTCATGCAAACAAATGTACTGTATTAGCTGAAATGTACAAAGCATGTGAAGACGTTTAGAAAAAAGTGACAGAAGAAAAATGAAGGCGAACCTGATAGCTGATGTCTGGTAAACAGCACATTCAAATGTCCTTTGTTCGTAAAATATGTCTAGTACCTCCAGTTAATATTTCAAAGGGAATGTTCGTACATCTGATCATCATGGCATTTACCAAGGAGAAAAAAATATATTCCCAATTTACAGAAGAGAAAACCAAGGCCTAGCAAAGTTATGATGTTTACTACCCAACAGCTTAAATACCGGCACAAACGTTTATTAAACAACATACAGCAATGCTCAAAGCCTAGAATCAACTAGGACAAACTCGGGGAGGAAACGTCCTTGTCTTGATTTGAAAGCCAGCATTCAGTCTAAGGGTGTGGGGCAAGGGGAGTGACAGGGGAGCAGCACAAGAACTTACTCATCTCTACGGGTCTCATACATTTTTCCATATAAATAATTATCTTGAAACTTCTTTGAGGTAGTCAAACACTGGGAATGAACTGAGTTCTTGGTAAAAAGAAAAGACCACATCGAGAAGCATTTTTACAGAAATGCTACCTGCCTTTTAAAAAATGCTATCATTTCCAAGAAGTCTTGTCAGTAAAGTGCTTAGATGTCACTGTATTCCTGCATTAGTTACGGCTGTTATTGTCTTGCAGCTAGAGAATCAACACAAGTTAAGCTTTAAAATGAAACAAAACAGTACCACGATTTACAGCAAGCTCCTCACTTTTTTCTCCCCACTGGGCTATAAGGTCCTCAAAGCAGGGAAGTCCTGCCCTTTCACTTATTCCTCCTCAGGATCCAGCTCTAGGTGGACACTTAGTACCAAACAAGGGAGCTCTCTCGGGCGGCACAACCCAAAACAAGTCGTGAACCAGAAGGCCCAGCATCTCTGGTGGTTCAAATCCATCAGCAGTTTGCGTAACTACATTCTTTTCTTTAAAATATTTTCATGCACTTACAAGTGAAATTAATTCTCAAGAATGGCAACAAAATCTCACTTATAATAAAAAAAATTAATCTAAGAACAGACCTGACAAAAGAAAAGAAATGCATTCTTGTATTTTGACATCATGTCTAAACACGCAGTGATGACTCTGAGGCTCCGAGTTTCCACTCGGAAAGACCTCTAGAAAAGGAGAAATTATGAACCAAGTGAAGAGAAGTAGCCTCTCAAGGGGACATATTTTTGGACCTGTTTGGCTCCGATTTCCGCGACATAGATCGCGCCCGTCTTCTTATCCACGTCTAGGAGGTGAGGCAGGACCTGGTCTGCAAGCTGGATCGTGCCGACCACCGAGCAGCTGCCGACGCTGCCGACCGGCGGCGCCTCCACCACCAAGAGCCGGCTCAGGTGCAGCTGAGCCACAATCAGGTACCTGCCGTCCGGAGTCAGCCTAGCAAGGAAGACATGCGACGTAACACGAGACAGAAAACGAAGGGCTTCTTTTGTAAACATGTTTCCAAACAAAAGTTAAAACAGAAAATGGGCATTTTCTAATACTTTACAATCATAAATGCGACACCAACCTATAACAGTATCCTAAGCACAGAAAGGACTTTCTTTTAATCGAGCAGCAGTGCTTAGAGACTGTGCTAAGAAAGGTGGACAGTTACAGAACGAGAGGAAGACCCTCAACAAGATGGTGATTCTAACAAGAGATTCGAGTGTACCAGAGATCGTGAGGCTGGTACAGGACAGGACGAGATCTGCTCAGAGGGACCCTAGGAGTCAGTAAGAGTGCTGTTAGCTTTTTTATCAAACTAAAACTCTTTTAAACTCTCCTTAATACTCTTCTGTTGCCCTTTTTCAGTCTGCTCCATCAATTTATGCCCCATCTCTTAAGACTCCTTTCTTACTGCTTTTTCCTCTTTCCTCCAGCAATTTTCCTTCCAAAGTTAAAGGCAGGCAGGAACATCAGCCATGAAATGCTTTCCGTTCCCTGGAGAGCGCCACGCTTCCCACAACATACGGATGAGGCCAACCACCTCTGGATTACGGTAAGATCAGGTCGGCGGGGATAGAATGTGGCCACTGACCAGACAGGAGAAAATATGATAACAGTTCCTCATATTCTGGTGTCCTGTCCCTCTACAGAAATTCCCCCCTTCGGTTTCCAAGATGGGAAGGCAGGTTTGAGAAGCTCACACTCATCTGCTATATACTCAAAACCCCCCTCAGCTGTTGAGTAGGAACCAGCTCACAGCTGACCCACCTGTGGGTATGTGGAGGCTGTAAACTACATGGGAGGAGTGTACAGCTTTCTTCCAGAGGGGCTGACGGATTCGGACGCCCAGAGGCACCCCTGCGGGACAGCAGCACACTCCCCATGGACCCAGCTCACCAGAGCTCGCCAGTGTATAATAAAACTGTTGGGCCCCACCTCACCTCTGTCTCTGAGATTGGTTTTATAGAGGCTCGAGGGAGACCCACAGTTTTGTGATAACACATTTATCTCCGCCAGTGGGAAATGAACACTCAGTGCTCGCAGAATGGCTCTTTAATCCCATTTATGAGGAAGCGAGAGACGTGTGATGACTGTTTAAGCTTAGGATAAATGTTTTTGAATAACAGCATCAGAGTACTACACGAAATGAACAAAGGGCTGTGTGTTAAGCTGGGTTCTAAATTACAGACTCAGATTTGATATTCATTCTACTGCAAAGTTTATCAAATGTTATCTAGAGGGTAAAGGTAAACATGGACACTTTACCTGACACTAGGATTTCCCTACCACAAATGGAGTTTAATTGTTTTCATTTTGCCTGGAATTTAAAATACCACCTTATGTCCTCTGTACATTTTTTTCTTCCTCATTCTCCTTTCTACCCTTGCTTCAAGTTAACTATTACCCTCAGCAAGCTATTCAAAGGAGCCAAGTCATGTGAAAAGAATAAAGAAAGCATTTTAAAAGGCAATGATTACCTGACTGAAGATGGTCCTTCTTCTGAAAAACAATTATCCCAGGCTCCTAGCCATTCCCCAGTGTCTTTATCAAACACCTGGATCCTTTTGTTTCCTCGGTCAGCAACCCAGACCTGAAAGGGGAGATGGGGGAAGGGAGTGGAATTTGTCTATTGGAAAAATCTACATTATAATACGAATAAAACATGTAGAGAAGAGAACAGGATGGTATGCTTCACATAGCACACTTATCTCACTTCACTTTAAAGGGCCAAATGTGTTGTTATGTTGTCGAGTCGCTTGCGACTCATAGTGACCCTATATACAACAGCCCTAAACCCTGCTCTATCCTGTGCCAATCACACTGTCTCTGACACTCCCATCCCGATTACCCCAGTCACTGAATCAATCCACCTCACAGAGGGCCTTCCCCTCCTGCGCCGTCCCTCCACCCTCCCAAGCATGATGTCCCTCTCCAAGGACCGGTCCCTCCTTACAACATGTCCAAAGTATGTTAGACAAAGGCTCAGAATCCTTGCCTCCAAGGAGCAGCCCAGTTTAATCCTCTCCAGGATGAATCTGTTTGTTTTCTTGGCAGTCCCTGGTACATTCAATACTCTTCTCCAGCACCACAGCTCAAAGGCATCAGTTCTCCTTCTATCCTCCCTAGTCATTGTCCAACTCTCCGACGCATAACAAGTGACTGCAAAGACCACAGCCTGTATCAGACGCACCTTAGTCTCCAGAGTGACACCATTGCTCTTCAGTACCCTGGAGAGGTCCCTAACAGCAGACTCTCCCATCACTATACGTTTTTTGATTTCCTGGCTGCTGGTGCCAAGAGTGTTGACTGTGGAGGACCAATAAAAACTAAAAAATCTCAAACTCCTTGCCATCAAGTAGGAACTAACTCATAGCTGACCTCTAGTGGGTTCTTCAAGGCTGTAAACCACATGGAAGAAGACTGCTCAACTTTCTTCGAAGGAGCTTCTGGGGGATCTGAACTCCCAGAGAGCCATAGCCTTTGGGTTTGCAGTGAAACTCCCTATGGACTGAGCCATCAGAGCTCCCGTAGGTAAACACAGAGACACACACTCAGACACACGGTCCCAGACAGCACTGAATTTTTACCCGGCCAGTCGCATCAACGGTAACGCTGTGAGGTATGTTGAACTGAGTCGGCCTCGTACCATTTTCTCCATGCAGCCACAGCATCATGAAGTCTAGCAAAGGGAAACACAGGTAGAGGGTAAGATGACAGTGGACAGGGTACCTCATGCACATAAGGCTTGTTATGTGATTGGCAGAATACTAGTCAATTATATTCCCCACTGATTACATTTCCCTGGCTGCTTCTTTATATACTTATATGCCCAAGTCTAGCACGTTACAAAATACTTCAAATAATTAATCTCCTTCTTTAATTACTACCTCCCTTTTCTCATTATTGTCTCACAAGTATTTTATTTAAGGTTCGTATCTTCTCCTTCAAGTTAGTTTTCCTTCCTAACTTTTTTGTTAATTGGTATCACCATTGTCCTGATAAAAATATTATGGCTTTCATCATTTGTCTCCTGAGGCTGCTAATCAAAAGGCTGGCAGTTTGAGTCCACTCAGTAGCTTCCTAGAAGAAAAAAACCTTTAAAGATTATAGTATAGTAAATCCTATGTTTGTTGTTGTTGTCATGTGCCATCGAGTCGCTTGCGACTCACAGTGACCCTGTGTACAACAGCCCTGAATCCTGCTCTATCCTGAGCCAACCTGATTGTCTCTGACACACCCACCCCCATGAGCCCAGTCACTGAGGTAATCCATCTCATAGAGGGTCTTAGAGAATCCTATGGGGAAGTTCTATTCTGGCTCATGTAGTCAGAGTCAGTCACAAGCAACCTGACAGCTCTAACAAGAACTCCTTCATTATCCATGGTCAATCTGTCTCATAAATCCGGTTGCCTCTAGGATGCCTCTAGTAAAAAATGTGACATATATAAGATGGTAACAACTCCAGCAAAGATCAAAAAATGAGAGTAAGATTCACAAGCAGATGAGCATAGGCCGATATGTACACAGGTGGGTACAGGTGCATACACATGTGAAAACAGATAGAGGTGTATTATTCTCTCATTGCTGTCAAGTCAGAGCCACCTCACAGCTAACCCTCCAGCAGGTTTTCAGAAGCAGTAAATCACAAGGGAGGAGAGTAAATACGAAGGCAACCCCAATCTCAGAAAAAATTAGCCTACAAGGCTGATGGTCTGCAGAAGTCACAACCTTGAGACCATCTCCCTGAGACCAGAAGGACTAGATGGTACCCAGCTGCTGTGCACACATATGACTGGATTCATTATAGATGATTTCAGCCAGAACGAGAAAGAAATGTACAAAAAACCTCAAAAGTTACAAAAGGGCAAGATTAAATAGACCACCGAGGGCAAAGGATTCCTTGAGCTCTTCGCCCTGAGACAAACGTCACATCTTGAACCAAAACTATCCTGACACTATCTTTTAGCCAAAAAAGCCAAGCAGCACACAAAATACAGGATAGTACCCATTAGATTGGTGTTCTACTAAAACCATCTGCGTGAGTCAAAAAGGTCACACTGACTCTGTAGGGAAGATAAAAAGAGACGAGATAGAAAACTAGAGTACTGGAAATGGGACATATGTTATGGTTATGTACCACACAGTCAGAACTGACTCATAGCTGGCCCTTCAGCAGGTCTTCAGAGGCAGTTATTCTCACACGACATGGCACAGAAGCTTGTGGATTTGCCACTCAAGCTTCCTATATTATTAAGGGAATGCCAACACATTACCAAAAACGTGACTGTGGTCCTTAATCAATGTGTGTGGGAACTGTCAACTGGGCCTCTAACTTGGTAACCTAAACATCTAGCAAAAACAGAGATTTGAAAAAAAAGGTTTTGCTGTTACTACCAAATAGAGTGTACCAAATGTTCTTTTAAAAACACCCAAAAGCTTTTCTTTACTTTGTCTCTCTCCCCATGTCCCTTAAAGTGGCCTAACCAAGTGCGGTTACTGGGTGATAAAGACCAAGTAGTCTCCTGATGACATCCCCTGACATCCTGATGGAGTTCTGATCTTACAAACTCTACTTCTCACACATCACTTCAAACAAAAAATCCTCAGACACTTTGTAAACAAAAACACCCTTAAAAATTTTTAAACTTGCAAAAATATCTCAAATCTTGTTTTCCACTATTAAGAAACACTTATCTTCAGCTTCTTTTCTGGAAGCCTTGCTAACTCCACAGCTCCGCCTTCAGGGACAGTTCTCAGCAAGCGCTCTTCTCATTCTTTCCTTCCTCCCCTCCAAAATCACTATAGTTCAAGGATTACTTTCTTCATGAAATCTTTGTCCTACTTTCCTAGCTAATATTTCCCTTCTCTTAAACTCCTATTTTAAGACTAAATATCAGAGGTTAGCACTTAGTTTTAACAGGCCTGTGCCCAAAATATTACAGAGGACACAGATCTGGTTCTAAAAAAGTAACCCCCAAAAATGAAAACTACTAGCAAAACTCCATGATCACTCAGTCTGCAGGACATGAGAACAGTCCAGGTCCCTAACTCCCCTTTTCTGAATTTGACAGGACACCCACTGATCAGTTGAGTCCACTGTAAAACACCTCTAGTTTATTTTGGAGGAAACTTCTAAAGAACAAATAGGCCTATTTAAGCTTTGATGAAGAATAAAAACACCGTACTCAGGATCATTTATTGCTGTCCACCCAAAGCGCCGGTTCCCATGCTTTCTCCTGGTATCACACTTGTGCATTTTATACATAGCTTCATATACTATATGTCACTTATAATGTTCAGATAGTATACAAAATTAAATCCTGTACCTGGGGACAGTTTGAACAATCTGTTATTCAATCCTCCATCTCCATCCACAATGTAAATCTCTCCTGTGTCTTCAACATATAATTCTGCAGGATTATCAAACTGCAGGGGACTCAAATCAGAGCCTTTTTTGCCTGGGGTCCCCAAGACTTGAACAAGATCACCAAAGGAATTATATTTTTTAATAGTATGACCATAGGGCCCTGTAAAGACAGATATGCACAATATAACAGCTGTACAAATGATCATTCTTTTAAAAGCTGAGACTAAAAATGGTTGATTAGCACAAAACTACTGCCACTAAGTCAATTCCAACTTATAGTGACCCTCTAAGAGAGTAAAACCTCATAGGGTTGCCAAGGCTGTAAAGACTGCCTTGTCTGCCCAGGGAGCTGCTGGTGGATGTGAAGTCCTGACCCTCCAGTTAGGGCTCCTTAATGGGTTTACTGGTTCAGATAATGAAAATGTTATTGTTAACTAACAGTAGAGGTTCTTCACTAGTTATTGCGAAATCCATCCATAAATTAAAATCATAGCTACTCCAAAATAAGTCAAAGAAAACTGAGACTCATTACAGAAATATGGGAGCTCAAGTAGTAAAAAGTTGTGCTGACAACCCAAAGGCATACAGTTCAAATCCACCAGTTGCTCCACGGGGAAAAATGGGTGACATACACCCTGAAAAACCACTGGAAGGTCAAATATGAGTGGTTTGATTCAACAGCACACACCACCACCACACAGAAATCTAGTGCTGTTAACAGAATATTCCTCTTGAATCTTAATGATTCTACCGTGAGAAACAATGATTATAAAAAAAGCTTGGGAACAATTAACTCTAATTTGAAAATGTTATTATTACATCCTTTGTGTACTGATCTCAAATTTCAGCAGATCATGAAAATGTTCTCTGATCGTTTTTAACTACTTTTCTGTTAAGGAAAACAAATTATAAAGTCAACACATTAGCTTTTTTTTCCTAAAAAATGAAATCATCTTTCCAAATTACTAGTTGATTTTCTTCTACATTAAGTTTTGTAAACAAAAGCGTAAAGCAGAATATTGATAAATAAGGAAAAATTGCAAGTAGTTAGCAGAAATCAACCTTAAGGCATAGAAAAGCAAATTATTAATTAGTAGGTGTTCAAAAGGCAAAGTAGACGGACTGAATTCACTTGGTCCTGGTGGTACAGTAATTAAGTGCTTGGCTGCAAACTCAAAGGTCGGTGCTAAGTTACTAACTGTTCTGCAAGACAAAGATGTGGAAGGCTGCGCCTGTACAAATTACAGCCTGAGAAAGCCTGGGGAAAATTTGCTGTTTGAGGGCCTCACTCTGAGTCAGAATCCACTGAAGGGCAATAGGCTTAGCGTGTGAGCTGACTTAAAGTCTGGCAGTTTGCATTATGATTTAGTCTTTAGAAAGAAATTATTATGTTTTGTTTAGGAGCTTGAACTAATGTTTACAGGCTAGTAAGAGAATACAATGTTACTAAAGAAAAAACTCTCAGAGCCTTTAAAGAACTGGCAAAACCCCCAAAATCTAAACCAAGTGCCTTCTAATTGACCCTGACTCTCATCACCCCTCTATCAAGTTTCCAAGGCTAACAGGTTATCATGTTTCCAAGGCTGTAAGATTTCAGCAGAGAAGACTATCCATCCTTCTCTCACTGAGAGGCTGGTGAATGTCAAGCACTCATTATTTGGTTCACAACCCAACACACCAGACTCTAGGCTACCAGAAGTCGGTAAAGAATTAGCAAAAGGGTTAGAAAACCAGCAGATCATGTCTTTAAAAAAAAAAATAAATAAAAAATGGCAGCTTTCAACCATATTCTAAAGGAGGGTATTTACTCCTTGAGAAAAAAAAAATACCAGAATAATGGTATAATTTACATTCTTTTGTGAAATTCAGGGATATTTTCCATAGTAAAAAAATTTTAAAAGGTAACATTGATGGAATGAATGAAAAGGCAAAGGCCTTCAGCAACGGAATCTGCCTTTAAAAAAAAAAGGGGTGAAAATGGTCAAATTTCTTTATATGGAGTTCAAAAATAATCTAGACTTTTTGGTTTAATCATAATATCACCACTCAAAATACAGCTTAAAGTTAAACAGTTTATCAGTTGAGGCTCAGAAAATTTTTCTGGTTCTAAGAACAGAGGTAGTAATGGCATTATTTATGAGAACCAAGACTTTGTTAATTAAAAAAAAAAAAATCCAAATTATCCAGAAATGGAAAACAGATTTTCTTCAAGTTGAGATTCTAACGGGGTTGGTTAGAAATATCTTTGTCCTCCCATTCCTTTCTGGGGTCCTCAGGTAAGGCTAGGCTGGGAGCCCTGTGTGGTACTGCTCTGTCAAAAGTAATAAATACATGCAAGCTGCTTTCTCTGCAAATTCCCTTAGAGTTGTAAATGCAACTGTGCTAACTTCTTGCAAATTCCCTTAGAGTTGTAAATGCAACTGTGCTAACTTTGCTTTTTAGCATATGCATAGTCTACTAAAAATATCTGAAGGCAAGAGATCTTTAGACATGCTGTCAGTGGAATTTTAGAACTGTTAACACCAGTTTCCGCAGGACTTTGGGTAATAAAGGCATTATGGTTTGTTGGCAGTTTTGCAAGAAAATTGTTGAGGTAAGCCTCCCATTTATTCACTCAGCTTTAGAACCTGCCATTTATGTCTTCAAGGAATTCAGTGTTTATTTAATCTGAGAAATGTACCTGCCAATTTAAAGTAGGAAAGTCCCTTGGTAGACTAAAAAAAAGAGCCATCATAAAAATTACAGCCCTCTTTTTAAAGTTTCTTTATTCTGCACAGGACAAAAGAGTTTTCAAAAGGTAATTCTGTGAGTCATTAGAGATATTAAGATTACATTTAGCTATTCTGATTTTAAGAATGTACAAGCAAGAACAAGGGCAGAAATGTGATTCCTAGCCAGAGAATGCAATAGATATTACTAGACATACCACTTCCTACATCCGTGATCCAGATAGATTGTTCATGTGATGTACTGGCTGCAAATATACCATGAGGTGTGTCAACTGTATAATTCCAGGCTCGTAGGAAATATCCGTCCTCTGTGAATACTAAAACCTTTGGGAGGTTATCCCCTCTCTGAAGGCATATAAAAATAACCACTTAGACAGGATTAATTTTAAAATAAAAGCAATCTTTATTTTATCACAGAAGAAGTTACTTGAGAATATTAGTAACATTTCATAAATTACTAAATACCTGTGATATTTTAATTCATTACTTTTTCAAAAACTTGAAGGCAAATATCCCAATTAGCATAATATAAATGCAAAAAGGTATAAGAAGACATCTTTCTTTACGTTCCTAATTAAAACAATCCCCTCCCCTTTTCACTTACTTGTGCTACATATACCAATCCGTGAAGGGAATCAACTCCAACACAAAACGTAGTTCCAGTGAAGTATTCCGGAAACTTAGGCCAACTCACATCCAGTCGGTAAAGAGGATTGCAAGTTGTCCATGAAATTTGAAGAACAATGTTTCTTAGAATCTTAAATAACATACAAAGTGAGGATTCAGATTTTTTATTTTAAAAAACACCCCCATATTTTCACGCATGCATTGACAGACTTCATGCTTTAGACGTTTTTCCAAAGAACTGGGCTTGTGCGTTTGAAGACCCTGACTACCAAAATTGTTGTTGTGATGTGCCCTCGAGTCGCTTGCGACTCACAGCGACCCTATCTATGTACAACAGCCCTAAACTCTGCTCTGTCCTGTGCCAATCGCACTGTCTCCGACATTCCCATCCCAATTATCCCAGTCACTGAATCAATCCACCTCATAGAAGGTCTTCCTCTCCTGCGCCGTCCCTCCACCCTCCCAAGCATGATGTCCTTCTCCAAGGACCGGTCTCTCCTCACAACATGTCCAAAGTATGTCAGACGAAGCCTCAGAATCCTTGCCTCCAAGGAGCACCCTGGTTTAACCCTTTCCAAGTTGAATCTGTTTGTTTTCTTAGCAAAATTAGAGAGCTTACAATAATGCAGGGTTGCAGTGGCAAGTAGATGAAAATGTCAAACTTGAAGGAGCTATGGTGGCGTAGTCACTAGAGAGCTGCACTGCTAAACCCAATGGCAGTGCCACTCTGGCAGTTCGAATCCATCAGTGGCTCGAGGGAGAAAGAGAAAAGATGGGTAATTTCCTCCAGTGTGATTTGTTGTTGATTGCCTTGAGTCAAGCGCCACTCACGGCGACAACATGAACAAAAAAGGCTTGAAGCCCCTCTACAACTATCGATATTCATCAAAGTTCATAGGGTTTCCGGAGGCATGTTGTTTAGGAAGTAGATTTACAGCCTTGGAAATCCAGAGAAGACTCGGCCAGGAGATGGTCCGCTTCGGCGGCAATGAGCGAGAAGGAAAATGACAATATCGCATGCACACACTTTTTAAGAGGACACGAGCCCGCTACCTACCGCCCACTCTGGACCCCACATTTCAAAACAGCATCATCACCTCCCAACATTGACACCCTGACAGCTCAACACCCAACTCACCGGGGAACCACAATAATTTGAATGCAAAACGAGAAAAGTCAGAAAGCAGCCGGCGCCGGCCGCGCAGGCCCAGAATCTCGCCATGAGGCGGCCGTGCGGCGGGGACACCGTGGCCGGGATGTCTCACACGTCGGGCCGGAGTCCCACAGCCGGTGGCTGGAAAGCAAGGAAAGGAGCAGAGCCTGAAAAGGCACGAGAATCTGAGATGACCGCTTTGGGATTCCCGGCGCGCTTCCGGGTCCCGCCCCTTGTCAGGTGACGCGCGCAGACATCGTGACCACCTTTCCCCGCCCCTGAGGGCGGTCCCAGGCCTGGGCTTGACGCTCTCACTGAGGGAACGCCCGTAGATATGCCTGAACCATTAGCTAGCATCCTTTGAAATTCAGATTGAACAGTCAAGACAAACGCACATGAAAATCTAAACCATTAAACTATCCAAGCCCTAAGAATGGTTGCTGGGTTCTAGGAAGGAATTAAGCCTCGTGGATTCCGAGGCATCCAGGCGTCCGCTGTGGACGCCTACGTTCCCACACCAGGACCCTCTCCACCTGGCCTTTCAGGAAAGAGTGGCCCGAGCTGGAGGCGCACAGTTGAGTGCGACAGGCGTCATTGAAGGTCCCCAGGAGTGAGGGTGGGGGGGATCCAAGGGGGACCCAGCCGGGCGCGTGACAGTATTGGCGCTGCGGTGGTCCGGAGGCCACCGCGAAGGGGTTCTCTCCAGCTTCGCAGGGCTCCTGGTGCTCTGGGGCCGCTCGCCTGCTCCTGGAAGCCGCAGCAGTTAGTAACAAAGAGCCAGTCTGGACGGCTGCACGGGCTGCGGGACCCAGGAGTCTGCGGAGAGCTGGGTGAGCGCTGCCCGACCGTGAGTCCGGGCCCGGGGCGGTGAGGAGTGCAGCCCAGGCGCAGGTGCGAGCCAGGGGGCCCGCGCCTTCCTCCTTCCGGGCGCGGGTTCCGCTCCTCTCTGGGCAGAGGCTTCGCCGGGGGGCCCCTCGCCTCCGCTGTCCGGGTTGCACAGCCCCCAGGATTCTCTGCGGATTCTGAGAACCTTAGCTCTTGCTTGGGGCACCCTGAAGCTTTGTGGAAAGAGGCTGGGGAAGCCTGGTGCGAGTGCTTTTTAATAAAAACTTTTCCCAAGTCTTTGCTGTTAGCTATTTTTTTGGTGTGTGGATTTTACAGTGCTCACTGCCTTTTCCCATCCTTTTCCCTTTGGGATCCTTTTTCCTCCCCAACCTTTTTGCAATCAACGGAGCAGCTGGAGATGAACGCTTGCTAATTGAAAGTATAACCCTTAAAGCCACCTCGAGATAGCCGTCAAGATGGACAAAAAGTCCTTTGAAACGGTGCTGGATGAAATTAGAAAGGTAATTATATTTGATTTTTTAAAGTCATGCAAAGTATTAGTAACTGTTGTGCCCTGTGCTCTTTGAGATAATGCCTGTAGATAGATGTACAAAAGAAGAATCCTAGACTTGCAAAGTCTGTTTGTTTTTAGACCGATGGTGTAGATACATTTTATCCTACATATAGAAACTAAACTGCCTTGATACTTGATTCTTCCGAAACAATACAGTGTTTCATTTAATAGGAAAATCCTCCTTGAAGCTCTGCTTTATCTTTTGACAGCACTGGTTTTGGATAAAATTATTTGATCGTTCAGCGCTTAGTTCATTTCAGTCCTAAGAGTAACAGAAAACTAGAGATAATGGGGTGGGGGGGAGGGATTTCTTTAATGGTATTAAGGCATAGATTCCCCCCCCCCAAAAAAAAATCTGAATATAGGCAAGATAGAGTTGTTACTTGGACTGGCACAGTGTCTGTAGTGTAATGGTAATGACTCAGGGATGGGCACTCTGTAACAGGCACTTTAAAACTTTTCTTTCAAATAGTTGCTGCTTTTTGAAGCTATTATGTATCAGAGTGAACCAGAAAGCTTCTATTCTGTTGGCTGGGTTTAAGATATCTATACATTGTTTGTAAAAAAGTAATCTTGTATTATACAGTTTAAAACCAAGATTCTACCCGTTTATAGCTGGCTTGATTTACCTTTCTTTGGCTTACGCATTCCATAGCTAATCTATATTTACTTGTCTTTTAAGATCCTTCACGTACCTGAAGGAATCTTTACCAAGTCTTTCCTTGCTTACTGTTTATATTGAGTTAGGAAGTCCTTCTAAAGTCTCTAAGTTTGCTACTTTTCTTCATTGTACATAAAACATTTCTTTTTTACCTTTCTATTTTCATCCTTTTAAAAGCTGCCTCTCCCCAGAATTTCATATTAAGTACCATTCATATGCTTGATACATTGAATATTTTGAACAAAGTTTATGCTTTTGGATATAAAATTTGTTAAGATGTGCAGTAAAATATCAATTTACTAACTGTAGAAGATGCTACACTTTGTGAATTGATTTTTAATTATTCCTTATTTTAAATATTTGTAGGTTAATATGGATCAGTAGATACTTATTTTTGAAAGATAAGAGTGTATTCTGTTGCTTCTTCTCCACCTTCTATGGATTGTAAAGATGTCATAAGATAATTAATACGGCAAATAAGGACATTTTCCCAGAGATGAAAATTACCTGTACACCAGGTGGCAACTGAATTCTTTCTGTTCTGAAATAAAAGTACATCCTTTGCTCATTATGCCAGATAAACATCTGCATTATTTTTCTCTATTAACACCCAACACCAAACAAACCCACTGCTGTCCTGTTGATTCTGACTCGTGGTGACCCTCCATCTGGTGTCCAAGGAGGACTAGTGGGTTCAGACTGTAGACTGTCATCAGTCCAGGGCCTAACCTAATGTACGCCAGAAGGGTCACTCTGCACTGGCAGTTTCCTGCATGGTTCACAGCCTCTGCAAAACCACTCTGAGTCTTCTGACTAGACTGCAGTGAGTTCTAGATGGTATTAGGTCAAGACACTAGCTGATTCTGTTAGAATAATAACCAGTATTTACAGAGGCAATTGCTAATGTACTAGTCCCATTGTTTCTTTTAAGCCTCCCAGTGGGGCAGGGTAGGGGGAGCTGCCACCTAATGGTTAAACTTTGCTCCATAATCTTTCCTCAGGCTGTTAAAACAAGGGTGGGGTTGTTGTTGCATACCTGCAAGTCCAAGTCAGAACCAACCCATAGTTTAGCTGACCCTCTAGGGGGGTTTCAGAGGCAGTTAATCACATGGGAGGAGATTACCTTTTTCCTGTGGTGCAGCCGAAGAATTTGAACCTGGTGCCTTCAGGATTGCAGTGCAGCTTGTTCCCTCGAGCTGCTCTTGGACTCAAAGGCAGGTCTCTTTGAGTTGTACCCTAGCATGCTTGAGACTGTGCCATCAGAAATCTGTGACATGGTTGAAAAATAGTGGACCTTTTAGAGGGAGTTTTATGCATGTTCTTCGGTTCACACAAAGGCGGCAGTCATACCTGGCGGTTCAAAATCACCACGTGCTCTTTGAAAGATGGGCAGTCTCTGAATTTGATTGACAGCCTTGGAAACCTGAAACCATCACTTAGATTCTCTATGAGGACATATAATCCAGCATTTACTGAGCATCGGCTGCTGTATCAGTTGTAAAAGAAATTGCTTTAATCTTTACAGTAACTCTTGGAGGACAAACAAAAGACCCCACTGCTATAGAGTCAGTTTCTGAGGTTGTAAACCTAAATTTAAGGAGCTCTGGTGGCTTAGTGGCAAGTAGTTGTGCTGCTAACCAAGAAGCAGGCAGTTCAAATTTCCTAGCCACTCTGAGGAAGAAAGATGGGTCAATCTCATGAGATATACCGCCCTGGAGAGCCCACTGTCGGGCCAACTGTAATTTAGTTCCCACTGGACAGCACATAATAACAGCAAACCTAAATTAGAAACAAAAACACAAGCCTCACTGAAGTTCAAAGCTGCTGGTAGATTCAGACCACCCTGACTTTCTTCCTCAGGCTTCACAGCTTAACAAGCTGAGAACCAGACTAGACTAGATTAGCTGTGCCTTGAAATAATTTAGCAAATCATATTCCCTTTGTAAAATTTCTAGTGACATAATTCGCTCTAAGGCCTCACAAATGCCCGCTGCAGCAGTTTGAGTCTCTGGCCCCTCTGTAGGAGAAAACTGGACAGTCTTCTCCTCTTGTGTTTTACCATTCGTGTTTGAGTTTAACAGACTGTGACCCTCCAACAAGTTTTCAGAGGCTCAAAGTTGCACTGGAGAGTATCACCCAGTGGAGCTTTTGAACCACTAGAGAGAGGCACCACCTTTGAATGTGTCCTAAAAGTCACAATTTAGTTAGCTTTTGTAGCATTCTGAGACTGATCATATTTCCGTAAATTCTATGTGTAATTTCCATCAATGTATAGTCTTTTTCTGTACAGGAGAGTGTAAGGAGGCCCTTCCTGCTCCGTGTGTCCATTACAATGTGGAATCTGCACAGTCACCACATGTCACTATGTCACCACAGTGCCCTTAACTGACATGGAGACCATTCTTAAGAACATCACTGTTTTTATTGTGCTTAGACACTTCTGACATGGGTGTAACTGCTGTGCTTTTACCTGTACTAATACCTCCCTCTGTTTTTCAGGCTGTTTTGACAGAGTACAAATTAAAAGCAATTGAATATGTGCACGGATACTTCTCTAGTGAACAGGTAAATATTCCTCATTTATTTATGCAAGAACCTCCTTTTACATTAACGTTCTGCTTACTGTGTATTTACCTCCTGGTTACATTCAAACTTGTTTTTATTTTATGGGTGTTTCCATTCAGGACCTTTAGTAGCTTTTCATCTGAGCAGAAAACTTTATAAAATTCAGACATATTTTATAACTCTATCCACTTATACCATGCCATCGTACTCTAACAAGATTTTTAAATATAGTGACTCTTTAGTTCCCAGGGAGCTCTGGTGGCCTAATGGCAAGAAGCTGCACTGCAATCCCAGAGGTATGCGGTTCAACTCCACCAGATGCTCTGCTGGAGAAGGAGGGATAATCTCCTCCTGTACCAGTCAGATCCAATTTGACT